GATCTTCTAACCAGGTACGACCCAGTGGGTGTTAGTGCTCGATATAAAACAAATAGCATGGTGGAACTAACTCCAAACTGGTTATTTCTGTTTGTAATCACTGTTGAACTTTGCACGACAAATGACTATTTGGTGCTTTAAAATAGTTGCTCGTGGATGAGGACCAGCAGGATCCACCAGTCAAACCATTTCAAACTGTGCAGTTTAGTTGAACGTCACTGTCTCATACCTAAAGACAGAATTCTGCAGATTCTCTGAAGACTATTAATGTAGTGAACAATGGAAACTGCTATAAAGGCTTCCTGTTCTACAGTGAGGATGAGTGAAGATGTTTGTACTCCGCAATTATATCAATTTTACAACGTAACACATACACAAAGTAATTTATGTTTGTTTAGGTTGAGCATGACTATACTTTGAACGCATTTATAGAAAAAACAAAAAACAAAAGACAGTGTGACTTAGCTGGAGTTGGAAAACATCCGCTGCGCTGTTACATGGGGCAATTAGTGGGAATAACAGTTGCCCGTGACATTTCTGTACCACACCTAAGGCGTGTTTTAGTGAAATAAACATTTTTTTGTTTGATAAAACAAAACATGTCAGAAAAACCAAACAGAATAAATGCTTTTTTTATATATATAATTCTCCATTGTGTAAACTGTGGAATTTTATTAATGGGAAAGGACATTTCAAACATCAAATATGTTTGGACTAAGCCTGAAAAACCAGCTGTAAATACAATCGTCATTATCACCTCGGTGTGTCAATAAACCCATGGCCAGAATGAAGCAGCAACAGCGGTTCTTCTATCGAACATCACGGATCAGTGTCACATTACGGTGGAGTAATTTAATACAGCCTTAGTGAGAAAGGTACAACAGAGGGGGAGAAAAACAAACTCCACCCACAGCTTAAGTCTTAAAACTGGGTAAACTCTGGTTAGGGAACAATAGCACCAACAACTGAAAAACAAACTAAACATCTTAATTATAGCCACCAGAGGGCACCACGTAAGAATACTGCGACCTACAGTAAAGAGTGTAAAAACATAAAAAATAACAGCAACGGCTTTTTCTTTCTTTCTTTTTTTTTTTTTTTTTTTTTAAAAAACTTCAACTGTTGAACATTACGTTTAACACAACACACACGAAAACATCGTTTCTGCTCAACCAAATGTAAACACTGCAGTCAGTATCGTTGGTAACCGTCAGGTAAATAAAAATAGGTCAAACATCCTTTCTGGATAACGTGGTTGAATGTCGAGATGCAACAAATACAAATGGGGCAAAAGTCGAACCTGTTGAAAAAAAGAGACATCCATTTTTTTCTCAATGTGCATTCATAATAAAATTGTTTTAATAGTAGTGATGGAGGCAGTTGTACACCAGTCCTTACTTTACCTTAGCTATAACTCGTCCTTGTTACCTCTTTCTCCTTCTTTACTGGCTGCAGTGTCTGCAGAGGCGTCCTCCATGTGGGCCAACATGTCTGCCATGAGGGCCTCCTCCAGTCGTCTTCTCACGTTCTGCACCAGGTCCTCCTGCTTCCTAAAGGATTGAATTGGACAGGAAATTGAAGATACACACAGATAAAAGCACTGCAGCATTTTTTTTTTCACAAGGACATTTGCTCTACATAGTACGCATGCATTGCTACCTAATGTCATCGTCGGTCACCACAAAGGCTTTGCAGAGCGGCTGTGCTGTGTTGAGCCAGACTCCGGGGTTTTTCTCCACTGCGGCGGTGAGTTGTCCGGTGACGGGCACAGGACTGGTGTGTAGAGCGCTGGCTATGGAGGAAAGCAGGGTCTTATCTGAACTCGCAGGTCCGACACCTTAGAGTACACGAGAGACAGCGGCGTCGACGTTAGGAAGTTCGACGTGTGGAACACTTTCACCTGCAGTGATTTATGAAAAGCATGTTTGTCAGCTCACTCACCCTGTAAACCTTTAGGAAGATCCATAGTTTTGACCAACTCATCTGCGATATCAAAGGCATTTAAACCGATTAGTTTCCTTTCCCAGAACAGCTGATGGATGAAGCAAATCACACAAAGATAATTGCTCGTTAGTGTGTGAAAATAAATTCTCTCAAACACAACAGATGCTGTAAAAAAAAAAAGAGGAATATTTCACTGTAAAAATTAATGAACACTATAGTACAAAGCGTAAGAAAAAAAAAAAACACTACCTGTTTGGGTTGATCCGCAGCCTTCTGTGGATCTGTCTTCACTTTGTTGTTGGGGTGGTTTGTGACCTTGGTCACTGGCTGTTTGAAGATAGACGCCGTCTGTCGCACCGGTAGCGTTGTGTTTAAATCAGGTTTGGCCTTCAAGGAAAACAGAAAGCTCCTCTCAGTTTATTTCAAAAACATTGGTTTAAGTTCACAAGATCTTAATGCTTCTACGACAGTCCCTACGGTAGTAAGATCCCCTCAAAGCTGGTATTTATATTATTCATAGAGAAATGACACCAGAGAGTCCTAGAGAAGCAGTAAGTCCGTTGACAGGATCTACAAGTTTCTCCACATTTTCTTTCAAGTACAGAGTGCACCAGTGTCATTAGTATCTACGTATATCTCACAACTCACTATAGACAAAAAACAATTAAGCAGCTCAAATACGGCAATGTAATGTCTTTTGCAGTTCATCGTCTTCTGCTGTGGCTAAAGATAAAGCAGTCGCTGCTACAAATGATTTCAAAACAATTCAAATGTAAACACAGCAATCTTGATCTGTCTCCAATATCTCAAAACAGCGTCTCACCCTGATTTGATGATTGGTGTTGTTGAGATGCTTATGTCTGTTGGTTTGAACTTTCTGTATCAGTGACCGTCCTTGTCTAGCATGGCCGGCGTTCATGTCTGTGTGTAGGTTGCTGCCCAGACCGCGGACTATCTGAGGCTTGTTCAAGATACATTTAACCGGAATGCTGGAAAGAAAACGAGAACAAGCGTAACGTTAAACAAGCTGAAAAAGCGTGACCAGAAATCACAGGAAACAATACAAAATCGTACATAATCCCACGATCCGAAGATATCAGCAGTTTAGTATGATGTTTTTGTGTAAGTAATTAATTGTAAACTAAAGCTCAAGACTCTGCAGTGTGACAACTGATTAACAACAAATATTTTTTTAATTACCAATAAAACAGAGGAAGTATGTGTTCCATTTCATTGTATTTTAAACCTTGTCACCGTTAATACATTTATAATATTTTTTAATTCCTATCTGTGATTTTTATTACATTTACTTATGTGTACACTTTAATTCATTTTCAGACCCCTCAGGTCATAACTATGTTGTTAGGGTGTCTGGGTATGAAGACCCCACACTAATACTTTTATAAATGATAAACGAATAACTGAGTAATGAGAGTTCATCTAACGTGTGCAGCAAGATGATGGCGATCTCTTGCTGTGAATGTCATCTCCTCTGGTGCAGTCTGTATACTGTAGGATACAGCATTTTCGCCAAGAGAAATAACAAATTCATCACTATAGCACAAAAAGTGCATTAAATTAATTAATTAATCTAGAAAAGTCACTGAACACCCCCCCCCAAATGGTCCCATTCAACTGTGAATTAAACAACTGTACATCAAATTATTGTGTACCATGAATAAAGATTTATGACACACACCTGTCAATCACTGCCTATATTTTCCATCGCTTCTAGCCACGTGTTAACATTGTAACATTGTGGGTGGAAATAAACCACCATGTGTTAAAACTGTCAACCATGCTACAAATACTGTCCGACCGTTCTTTTATTGTTTCTTTAAGGATTATTTTTCAGTTGCTGTCTGTAATGGGTTTTCGTGAGGATGATAGTATGTTTCAAAATTAAATTCGGTGTATTCTTGCACTTCAAATATAATTCTAATACTTTTGTAGTCTAGCTTTTTTATTTAATTTATTATTTATTACAGAATGTACTAAAATGCTCGCTTCCGTGTCGTGACCCAAAAAAGAAGTTTTTCAGATTTAATCACATCATTCTTGATCAGTAAGACTGGAGCATCTGGAGCGATTCACACTAAGAGGAGAAGACATTCTTAATCAGTTTGACCACAACTTCAATGTTAAGTCTTTGAGTTTGTTTTTAAATGCTGTGACTTCGCCGAGTGCAGGATCGCATCACAGCGTAAGTCAAGCGTGTGTAAACAATGAAACCTAGCAGGCTAATCAAGCTAACAGCGTCATTCACAGTCGGAGGCGATAATGCAGCAGTTCGTTCTCGCTGCTGCTTGAACTTTGTATGTTACAACAAAAACGCATAAGCGATTCTTGAACTACTGCTGAAGCAAATGCAAATACATAAAAAGCAGCTTGATTCCCCGCCGGCTGCTGTTTCTCAACTGAATGACGGCTCTGTGTGTGTGTGTGTGTGCATTTCCTGCAAAGAAAGTTTCCCTATAACATACACCTCGACCGGATAGTAAAAACTCTCACCTTTTTCTGTCCATGGTCCCTGCTCCGTCTTATTTCACCTTTGTTTCACTGCGGTGTTATAAAATAAGCAGACAGCGGCTCTGTTCGACGTATTTAATGTCAGTCATGAATTCAGCGTTTGTTTTCACTCCCGCTGTCAGGACGTTTACATTGGCAGATCACTCCGCCAGCGAATACGTCACAATCCCCGATCCATCCGCCACACTCCGGTAGACTAGTACGATAAATGGCCACACAGCAACAAAACAAAAAATCTTCAAATCGCCTCCCTTTATAGTCTGCTCTAGACCATCTCGTTAAATAATACATACACTACATCTTTGTTATTATAAGTCGATGTTAAATTACTGTATTAATTAGCGCCATTTTCACTTAAATTCAAACTTACCTACTTTTTTATTATAAAATAAAAACATGTGGAGGTACACATGTCCGCTTGTTTGAGTAAAATCCAATCCAACAATCTAACTAGACACCCCATAACAGGTAACAATATTATAATAAGTAATAAGGAAGATTCTAACCGGTATTACTTTGGGTGGGGAGGGAGTAGTGGTGGAGGTCATTATGTGTCATTTTGTGACACGTAATGTCTTCTAAGGTCTTCAAAGTGAAGAATTATGGGTTTAATACTCGTCACTTTTGCATTTCTAAATGTTGGCCAAATAAGCTGTTTTTATTTTTGCAGAATATCGCCGTCTACTGGCCACATATAGCACAACCGACTGCACTCTACAAGTGTTTGACAATCGTCATGACAGAATTCACGCTGGGCAGTAGGGAACTTGTTCTCTTCTTAAGCTAAAGCTAAGTTCGCTACTGCACAGCGTGAATTCTGCGTTTATATCTGACATGACGATTGTCAAACACTTATAGTGTGTAGTCGGCTGTGCTATCTGTGGCCTGCAGACGGCGATGTTCTGCAGAAAAGAAAAACCGCTTATTTGGTCAAAATGGAGGAACAACACTGGGCCTTCAATACAATGTTTTATGTGCACTGCCACACTGCCACAATAACAATAATTTAAAACATATATAAAAATAACACTTTGTTGTGACGTTTTAATACAAAATGTGATTTGTTGACAGTAACGTATTGCAAATGTTCAGGCAAAAAAGCTTATCGTTTGTTTAAATTGAGCTGTCTATGTCTATGCTGCTGTGTTACACTACTGAAATTAAACTCTATTATTGTCAATTACTTTATTCAACACTGAATATAAAACTGACCTCGTTCTAACTACCGCACATCAGAATAATTCAATCCACTAAAATATAAAACGACATTCAACAGCGATTTTTCAAACACTTTACTTGTCTTTAAAACAATTACAGATCGACATAGATGACAGAGTTTTACTACGATCCCAGAAATACGCAATCCCTTAAACGAGGCAGGAGTAGAAAACGAGAAACCTTTTCTCATTTTTCCATGGGTGAAGGAGAATAACATTGCTGGAACGTGGTGCCTCATCGCTGGATAGTTACGGGATGACTGAACTGAAGAATGAAGATGACTGGACTGTTTCCAGTCGTGCGTCTTGCAGGTGGACGACAGTGCAAGATACGGGCTGAAGCAGTTCTTGTTATTCGAGTCTTTTTATCCACAATAAAAGTGGCACCGACCTAGCAGAAGAAAACAGAGTAATTATATAAATAACTCCCAATTAGGGTTGGGATTTAAATGTAAGGTTTATATTATTTTGGTAGTTTCCAAGACAATAAAACTTTAACACTACACAAACTTAACTTTTTTTTTCAACACCAGCAGTGACCTATTGGAAGTCTTTTGTTCACTCCTACCTGATGGGATTTAGTCATCCTTTTTGAATTTGCCATTAATGTAAGGAACGTAATCCAAAAATGTTCTCCAGTCTGTGAAGTGCACCAAAGCTACTCCTCCAGCTGTGCCCCATACAGCTAGAGTCGGTGTCCTACAGAGAAAGAAAAACATAAAAATGTATTTCTGTTTATAACAGCGTTGGAAAGTGGAATATGTGACTGTTACACCCATGTATCCCTATCTCATTTTTTTTTTATCAATGTTTCGCTTTAGACATCAGATAACACTTAACAAAATTATCAAACACCAATATGCAAAAACCACAGTCAAATTTGCTAACTGATTGTTGCAGTCAAATGTCTTGTCATGTTAAAATATAATCGTTTATATATGTGACTTTTGTGAGTCTATTCTAGCAGCAATTGTCAGTTGCTAACGGCTAAAAACAATCAGTTTAGACGTGTGGGTAATTCACTAAAAAGAAGAAAAAGTTAGACATCACGCATCTAAACACTCGTTGTTATTAATTTTATTTGTCGACTGACAAATAAAATAATTAATAACGTGATCTGTCTGACTTTGGATGCCAGGGAGCGACAGTTAGCGCTGTGACCCCGACTGACTTAGCGGCTAAGCTATCCAAGGACACAGCTTTGTTTCATCTTCTTGAATGCTGGTAAATAATGATTAAACATAGGCAAAATAAACAACAGCAACTCTCACCATGTCTTGACGATGGATATATACTTTGGGCCGATTATTTTGCTAATCATTTTTGTGTGAGCTCTGTCCCCCTGTGGCCACTCGCACACTTACGAAAGCTTGAAGGAACTTCCGGTTATGGTTGCGTATACGCGTATTGCGCGTGTGCACGCAACGTTTCCTGTTACTACCAAAATAAAATAATGTTCTTTGTTTCTTTCATTGTCTAATTACAAAAGGACTTTTAAAAGGCATTTTAAGCATACCATTGTTTGTTCTCTTATAAGGGGAAATAATCGACCTTAAAGTTTTTAAGACGATATTAATCGTATATTGAATTCGATCAAAGTTGCTTAAGTATTCCCATTAACTTTGTTTTCATTAATATTTATTTAAGTGAAATATATATGGTGTTATGACAGGTAAAATAAAAAAAACAGTCATTATTATTAGAAATGGCACATTTATTGCTACATTACTGTTATAGACACAACAGTCCTCTGAATCTACTATATATAAAAAAATAGGAAACTGGAGGCACTTTGAGGACATATCCTACATAAGACATTGTCCCCAAACATGAGTGAAGACATAAATGTTGCAGGGCATCTGTTGGAGGAAAAAGTGTTGGTTAAGAAATATCAGGTGCATCTTTCAAAACTGGGATACTGCAGACAAACATCTTTCATGTTTCAAATTCACACATCCTCAGTACTGACATTTTCATATCACACCGAACACCAAAGTTCCCCAATGAACAAGGTGACGATCGGACAGAGAAGAAGTTTTGGGCTAACCCGTGGGCCAAGACTTTCAAAGAAATGAAGAGTGTAGGTTAACCAAATACTGTCACAAATCAGCTGAGAATTACAGAGCTGATAATAACACATCGTAGAGCTGTACATATATACTTAATGCAACTTCCAGTCAGGGACAAAATTATATTCAACAAAATCCATACATAAGGATTAAAAAGTTTTAAGTTCATTGTCATGTTATGGACCAGTCACATATGAAACTGGAACTCGCTAACTAGATGTTCTTAGACACTCCTTATTGAAGTACATGTGTTTTATACACCTGTATTATAAAAAAAAAGTACAACATGTAAATCCTTATATGCAACATCATTCACCATGTAGCAAAGAAGAATTCAGGCACTGATAAGTAACCATTATCAAAATTTCCCCAAACCGGGAAAATGACTAAGGCCACCCTTTTTGATTCATATGCTTCATCTAATAAAGAAACTGTGAATTACGTTGCAGATTGTAATGTTGTAGACCTGTTTCCTCTGCCTCATCTTCAAACTGAGCAGCCTGCCTGTCAACAAGCTGAGATTGGGGAGAAGACAGGGAGGTATACCCAAGATAAACTGCTGCATTTTATTCAAATAAAAAACGTTCCAAAAACACCTGATCCATTCAGTTACAACTGGCCTTAAATTGTTTGGGTCCAGACATTAAGAAAAAAGATCAAATCACAACATGTGATCTTACAGCCAGATCATTTTTGTCATTTCTAACATTTCTAAGCACCTGGCACAAACAAAAAAACAAACAAACAAACAAAAACACCTCACTTTGTTCCTGGAATCTAAACTGAGAATAATCTTACATTTTACCAATGTAAACAAAAAAGAAAAAAAGCAATCCATACGATCAAACAAAACTCATCTATCTTACAAAATAAAAAAAATAATGTTGAATCAATTCTACAAAAGGAAGACCCAACAAAGTTTGCAATTGTTCAAAATAGGGGAATAAACAACGTGAAACCTTAGAGGATCGACGAAGAGCAACTAACAGAAGCAATAAGTCAATGACGAAGGTAACAGTGAACTCCATCAATGATCGGATCTTCTGTCCTCGGAGAAGAAGAGCAAAGTTCAGCGTTCGGTAACAGTGTGTTCTCACTTTGCCGCGTGAAGTCGGGCACGGCTTAGATTCATCAGAGTGACCGATGACGCTTTAGGATGTGAGGATGACACGTGTGCTTTAAAAAAAAAAATTCCTCCTAGATCGCCTCACAGAGCGGAGGCTGCGACGTCCACCTACGTCCAGGTCCACATCACCGGGATCTTTTTTTATGTTATGAGTCTCTTTACCTACATTTAACAGAGGGCCGTGGGTCTTTCCTTTCCACTTGCACGGCAGTGACGGTAACAGACATAAGAACCAGGACCCACAATTTAAAAATAATTCCACCACATGTGTGGGTGAATGGCTGTGGCATCTTTTAAGCCAAAGAAAGAAAGAAAAACTGCTAGAAAACAGCTTCGATTACCAGCGCAGATGAAAAAGAGAAGTCAGCTCCGTTACTGACTCAGTCGGTGGCTTCAATTTACCTAAGAATAGAAGTGGTGACTTTTCTATATAATGATACACTTCATTACAGGGGTATTTGTTCAGGCTAAACATAAACTCTGTCCTTGTTTCTGCAGAACGTAAGACCTTTTCAGAAGGGAATGCCAATGATTATTCTATTATTTAAACCTTAATCGCTCACTCGAGCACTTGATCCATATATTATTCACTTGATCCAAAAGAGTTTTGCTCCCAACATGTAAAGAGATTAATTTTCCTTTAAAACTGTCTCTGGAAACAACACAGACAAAATAGTCTGTTTTGACTGGTATCAGTGTCCTGTGTCCTTGGTTCACAGTACTGTAGTATGATGAGTACGCATGTTTTTTTCTTTCTCTTATGTGAAAGTATGGTTCTACTCTTCTCTGTCTGGAATGTGGCCAACCTGCTTTATCTGTGACCATGTGTGTGTTTGTGTTTGCGTAGGTGTGTGATGATGATAAGCACACACTGAGATGCAAGAGGATAAATTAAGGCCACATGTTCTAGGGGCTGTACAATCGAAAGGACCTGGAAGACAAAGAAAACAATGAACGTCAATAAACATTTAATCGATTCAAACCTTAAGACAATAAATAAATAAATAAATAAATATATATATACACACACACACACTTACACATATTAGTGTATATATACATAATGTATAGTTACTAAACTTCAAATTCAGAACCTTTTTTTCTGAACATTTACAGACAAAAAAAAAAAATCATCTACGGTCATTCTGCATCAGAGAGATTGTAAATACTGACCAGAGAATCACATATGGCTCACGGGGTTGTGTCCATCTCCGCCTAAACCTGGGTGACCTCCTCCAAGCTGCATCTGGGGGTCCACACCCGACACCTTCTCCTCCTCTCTCCTCTTGAGGCATGCAGACTTTGGATTCAAATTACGCTCTTCAAAAGATATGAAATGCACAGTGAGTAAAAATACCTGCGTGGTAATTTTCCTGAAGAAAAGCCCTTTAGTTTCAGCAGACAAAGGGTCAGAAGTGCATAGACGGAAAGTAAAAGCAGGGGGAAAGAGGAAGAAGAATTGTGGCAGAATAGCAGGGATTTGCTTCTCCTATCAGACTCCCTTTCTCTTCTATTTCTGGTTCTATTTCTCAATGCAATAAAAGCCATAAAGCAAAGAGAAACACAAGGCAGATGTCACTCGCTGAGTAAGAAAGAACAGAGAATTCTTTCCTATGCGTCAAGCTTTAATTTCTTATGTCCAGCTGGTTGTGTGGTTGGACCAGACCCGCCTGTTTTGGCTGACCTACCTCGCACCTGCTGCTCCAGGCCCAGGATGACCTGCACTGCCTGCTGCAGGATGACAAGCTTTGTCTGGGCTTTGTCACTTTGCAGGTGGACCTGACACATCCTGCCCAGCTCTCTGAAGGCTTCGTTAATATCGCGGACACGAATCCTCTCCCTAGCGTTGTTGGCTAGGCGGCGCTCTCGCTCTCTCTGCTCCTTTTCTTCTGCAGTCAGGTTCTCATCAGTCACTGAGACAATGCTGCAACTAGTTGGAGAATGGAGGAGGTGGAGGAGGGAGGGTTTGAGTGGCTGGTTAGCAAAACCGGAAGCACAACCCTTTACTTTCTTGTAAACTGAGCCAGATGTAACTCTGGCCCAAAACCCACTGTTTTATTGTTAAATCAGTGTGTCTTTTCTGGTTGACATTTCATTTCTGATTCCTGACTTAGAGTGACTACGATGAAGATTATGTCAGTGGACTTCTTCTAGTTTGTCTTTCATCTACTTTTTTTTTAAACCAATCCCAACAAGGTAACTTCAGCAATAACTAACTCACTGCACTGCAAGCGTTTCAGCCAAACTACGTCTCGTGAACTTCTCCTAGGGTCAATCCAACCACAGATTTGTTTTCTTTCGGTCACTGGGGTCCAGGAAGGGAGTTGAGTGCAAATGGCAGCTGCTCAGCAAAATAAGAGAAGTTATGAAAAAGTAGAGAAAGGGAGTGAAAGGAAGCAGCACCTTCTGCCAAGTACAGCACACAGAGATAAGGCTGAGGGGAGAGACTGGAGTCATCGTGTTAAATACATCCAAAGCAGGAGATGTATTTATCTGATGTGAGAAGAAGAGCATCTTTATTTCCATCTGTGGAAGAATTGTGACACAACCCAGGAAAGGCGGCGAACAAATGTCAAGGTCTCTTTAAATGAAGTTAAAGGGTCGACACGTAAAAGGCAGCGTAAGACGGAGCTGAATGTGAAATGTGACTTGACATGCGATGACTCAGACACTTGAATAGAATTCACAGAGCAAAGAAAAAAAAGCAAAAAAAGAGGCAGAAGCTTTGCAGAACGTACAGATGTTAGTTCAACAAAGGTGCGGAAAACAAAGCCAACTGTGAGACATGCAAGACGCTGGCAGTGTCACGTGCATCAAAATGTCTTTAAAACACACACACGGGCATACTTCACTGTTATGTAATACGCAAAAGGTGTTAATGTTGTACATTACAATTCCTGAATATATTTGTGTCTACTTAAATTATATTCATCCATATTAACTATGTATACATTCGATGTTAGAAAAAAAGGGTGGTGTGCAAAGGTTTGAAGCAACTCCCGTTTCTTATGCTAAACAGAAAACACGACAAACGGCAGCAACTGAGCTGGAAACGCATAACAAAAGAGCTTTAGTAGCACAACTAAAATTGTATTTCAAGAAAGCACGGTGAGCTAGAAACATAGGCTACGTTTGGCTACGGCTTTCTGAATAGAGCCTTACACCAGCCTCCCATTTGCTTAACTTATCTCATAGAAGTTTTTTTGGCTGAAATGCGTACAATTACTTAGGCAACAACCCAACAATTTGGACATAACATAATTTTCTCATATGAGTTTAAAGTAATTGGTGTAACACCCTTATGTGATTTATGAATAAATAAATATAAAAAAAATAAGGATACATTTTCCTTAAAGACATATTTTAAAGACTCTTTTTTTTTTTGTCTATTACAAATGCGTAAGGCTCTTTTAGTGTAAAAAAAAAAAAACAGGAGTGGCTTCAGACTTGCAACAAACATATTCACACCACATGTCATGAGTTACAAAGTGAAGCTGTGTGGGTGTTTTAATTTGTCAAAGATGCTTTTCCTCCTGTTACTTCCTCCCTGGACACCCACTGACCTCTGACTTGCTGCTCCAGGTTGAGTATAACATTAACGGCCTGTTGCAGTATGCCCAATTTGGTCTGTGGTTTTTCATAGCTCAGATGGAGCTGACACATGCGGCCCAGCTCCTTGAAAGCCCCGTTGATGTCCCGCACGCGTAGCCGCTCACGGGCGTTGTTTGCCATCCTTCGCTCTTTCTCCCTCTCAACTTTAATCTCCACTGGCAGATCTTCATCGTCCTGATCGTCCAGACTAACCAATTACCAGTGGCAGATGAGGAGGGAAGGAAGCAACAGTTTGGGTTCAATTCATGTTAAAATCACTGAGATTTGGTGGGCAACTAATTCTGCCAATATTATCAACACACTATCACAGCTGTTCATGTACAAGTCACAAAATGGTAAATATAATTAATATAATTAAAATTAAAGACACCGTTGCCAAACATGGACTATTAAACTAATGAAACTTAATCTATTTCTAATGGTTTTACAATACTATATAAAGGGTTTGTTTCAGAGGTGTAATACATGTAAGGTTTACACATGTATGTCTGAACTTCCTGTGAGTATTCTCGCTCTCGAATAAAAAATGGCTTACAAAAATGTTCATACCAATCATGTGACCCAGTACAATACAATGCCACAACGTGATGACCAAGTTGAAACATTGTTTTCTGAAAGCCCCGCTATATTTTACAGAGCACCGTATCATATTAAGGACGACAGACTGATACCTAATGGAGTCGTATCATCGTGCATGTAAGTGTGTGTATTGAATATACATATCCACTGCCATCTATATGTACTATACTACTATTTATGTTAAGCAAAAAAATTAGGACACCTTGTTTGAAGACGAGGTTTCAAGTCCTTCCTCTCATCCTCCGACTTATCGGTAACTGAGCAGTTTTCCTCCTCCTCATCCTTCTCCTGTTTAATGTCTGCACCAGTGGAGCGACTCAGACTGCCAGGCAGACCTGCACACGGGGACCACAAACAGTGGAACTGAACTACAAAGTTATAAAGTTACACGTGCGTGATGTTCAGCAGTCTAATAATCTAAACTGGGCCTGTTCTCCATGGACGGACACTAAAAATAATCACAGAGGTAGACGGCAGCAAATAGTTTTACCGGTGAAGCCTTCGTGTTGAGGGCTTTGCTGCACAGATGTGGAACTGTGGTGTCTATGCAAAATTCCTCCACTAGAGGGCAGACCAACAGAGTCCTCGTGGTGATTGGATACCTCAAAGGAAAAAAGAACATGGTACATTATTACTTCTGTATAAACTCAAATTTAGAGTATAAATGATATAGAACTATGAAACGTGGGATAACATGTATCAATATGGCTTTATACGTGTTATTATTTATACAAATGATCTCACTTTTCATTGTTCTTTAAAGAGTAGACAGGCAGTTGTGATTTTTGTGTTTCCTACCAGATTAGTGAGACGACTGCTGACTCCAAGCGCTGCATTGGTGAAACCTGGAGGAAGTGCCAAGCCAGAGACAAGCCGACTGTGGATTTCATTCAAACCTGACCCAGTACCTTGCCCACTGGCGTGGCGCTGAAGGACATTGAGGGCCTCGTCCAGGTGATCCTCCATTTTACTTGCCTAAAGATAAGATATTTATGTTTATGTTCATTCTCTTTCATCTTTAACGTGGGAGAGAACATAGGGAGGAAGGCCAACTCACCATGGATTGAATTCCATCAAAGTTAGGGGAGGGTGTGGCCTGACCAGCGGAGCGAGCCCACTGAGATGCTGAGCCTGCAGAATAAAAAGGTCCATTCAGACACTTGTTTTCTCATGAATGTTGTCTGCTCAGCTGCATTACCTAACTGATGACCACAAAATAACACTTTGATAAAAGTTTACATATATTATTGTTTCCACACAGACACACAGAGTATGTTACATTTTTTGTTATATAAATTTACTTGAAATAATTGTATAATATGAGGTTATTTTTGCTTCTTAAAACAATGTAAACCATTGTTTCTCTACACAAGTTTCAATTATGCGATGACATTATGACCGTGTATGAAAACATTAACGTTGAACAACTGAAATCACTCATTTCACATCTTTGGCATGTGATTCTAGTGTATCCAAGAAAAATTAAACAAAACTCTTTGGCACAAACTAGAAATGTGTGTGTATAGGATGTTTTCATCTTATATTCATCACATTTTCAACTTTTGTTTTGTTTCCCTTTTATGCAGCAAAAGAAATTTAAAGCGTGAGGTGTGTCTTGAAGCATCTCAATGAAGTGCTGCACCTAAAAAGAGAAGTGTCACCACTTCTTTTAATTTCCCTTCCTCTCTCATGAGCTATATTTGGGTGCTGTGTGTCTGAGAGATCAAGAGAAGGTTAAACGTGGTGGATGAAAAAGAGGAAAATACTACTACTGCTACTTTTAATATCTGCTTCACGCCATGCATAGTAGCATAGAGTATATTCGTCTTAACACAAAAGTCACAAAGTACAGCTGATGTCAGATGATACGTTGTTCTAAAAGTCACACAGTGAGGATATGATGAGTACAAAAACCAAATAACTGTTGCTGCACACTCACCCGTTACAGCCTGAGGTGAACTGGAGGGAGTCGATGGGGATGGAGGGTAGTTATTACCGCTCAGGTCTGAAGTATAGATCTGGACGCAGAAAAGTTTTTTTTTGGTTGGTTGTAGGCCAATAAATACTACTTACAGCTTACATATAAATTAGTAGAACACTCAAAGATAAACCTTGTTAAAATTTAAAAAATGAATCGCTTTGCATTACATACAGATGCCAGGGCCTCTCCGATCTCGTCTCCTGAACTCCTGTGTATTGCTCCTATATTGGCTTGGTGAAAAAAAAAATGCAGTCATTAAAATCAGAACTTATGTTTGATAAAAAAAAATTTAAAAAAGAAAGTAAAGAAAACAGTGAGAGCAGCTTTTACAAAGAGAAACAAGCACACATTTGAAGAGCCTACCCATTATGGTGTCACTTCCACTAATAGGTGGTGTGTGGTTGGAGACACCAAAGCTGCTGGAGCCAGAGTGGAAACCAGCAGGATGGGACCCATTCACCTCACTCCCGTGTAGGGGGTAATTCTGAGGAGACAGGGGCAGTGGCTGCCGTTTCTAGGAAAGATATCAAAAACAATTTATCACCACAAACGCACACTAAAAATGATCCCACAGGAGTTTGAATGCAGAACTCACCTGTCTGTCTTGAGGGTTGATGGCAGAGTACGGGCCGTGCTGGTTCAAATGGGGGGAGTTACCCATCATTGGAGAATAGACAGGCTGAACCATGGGCCTGGCAGAGCCCCATGGATCAGAGGGATGGTGCATGCCCTCTATTAGGAGGTGTCCAATAGGAAGCAAAGAGCAACGACATGAGGAATAACAACGAGAAAAGACCATGAAAACAGCGTATTAAACGTGTGCCATTACAACAATAACCTCATTTTCCTATGACGCACTAATAAGCAACCGCAAAACTGATTACATTTCCCGTCCTACATCAAGTGTGTATCTGTATCACGGCATCGCAAAATAAACAAGGGGCCATTCTGAGGTAAAAGAAAAAATGTTGTTTTGACTGACCTTGCATATAGAATGGTGCTGGGTAGTTTCCTGCCTTGGAGCCTGGGTAGCCAGGATTGTCCCTGTTAAAGTCCTCTCCAGAGGCTGATGCATAAACCTGCAGATGACATGTAGAAAAGTTCAGTCAAACACAATACGTACTGTTACTGCACAACAAAGTAAATGGAGTGTCCGACTGTAAAACCAAATATGCCCATTGTATGAGGTGTGTTTTTATAAACCTCTTCCTAATGTTTAGCTGGATGAGAAACCACGTTTAATTATCCTTAGCAAATAGTTCTTATTAAATTAAAATATAAGGTAAAGGCATCAAAAACCTGACTGAACACAGCCATTAAAATTATATGATCCTTCTTAGAATTGTTGCATTTTACTATCTGGTTTTACTACTTAATTCAATAAACAGACTGCAGCAGCATTTCTGCAGACTGGAGCCCCTGGACGTTAACTACTGAATGTGCAGTGTCATTGATTTTATAGGGATTTGTCCCCACTTTCAGTGAGGCTTTTATGCACCATCCTACTGAATAAAGGCATGCTGAGTTTTACAGTGACATAATTCATTCTTTTGAAACACAGTGAGAAGTGTTTGTTGAATTGACCGGGTTCTTTAATGTTTCTAAAGACACCATTGTTCTAAATTAGGCATTTCTTTCTCAGTGTCAACACAAATTCAGTATTAAACTGAATCTAAAAACTTATTTCCAAATGGCATGAAGTTGTCTTTTGTAATTTGATTAAATGGAAGGAAAAAGAGTGACGAGGAGCTGAAGGAACGGAGAGATGCACTCCTAATTACTGAACCATCTGCCGAACCCTGGACGGCAGCCAACTCCACTGGCAGCTGGGATAGAGCAGTGGGGGAGGGAGACAGAAAAGGGGAGGGCCGTTGTTCGCGGTTGTGGCGGGGGTGGACTAAGAGGGGGGGCCTGGGGTGCCCAGAGAGCAAGAATGAAGAGAGAAATGAGGCGGGGTAAGAACCATCAAACCCCGGTATGAATTCCCCCCAGTGACCTCGTGAGGTGTAGTTTGCCGAGGCGAGGAAACGTGACCATAAAGTAAAAAGCCTGCAAATACAACACACTATAAATACGTCCTGCAAATGTGGGACTAAGTGAACAAGTGGCTTTTCCTCTATTCCCACTTTTTTTTCTTCTTTCTACAGACATTCACAGCTGGTAATGTTTAGAGAACCTGTGACTACGAGACTGCTTTAAAAAATGAGGAAGAGTTTCTGACGGAAAGTAAAAAAGGAAACAAAAACAACAAATAATATAAGACCAGACTGTAGGACCTGGAATAAAGTTCAGTATTTGAGGATTTACTTACTGAGGAGGGCAAGCCAGGGGGCACCTTCCTAATCTTTTTTGCCTGTGATTCTGTGGAGAGAGACGGGTGTAATGTCACAAGTACAATTAGGTTGTTATTTGTGCAAAAGTTTAGTGCAAACAGACAAAAAAGGATGATATGTTTTTAGATAGTTGCCATAGTTGTTGTTCAGTCATTTCACTACCTAATCTACAGCAGGTTTTATATATTTGAAAAAAATAGCATGACTTGAGCTCAAAGGCCATGAGTGGTTAAAACCACAGTCTACAGCAGAAGCAGAGGCAGATCATTTATGCTTTTCTGGTTTAAACATACATTTTGTTGCGGTTTGTGAAGAGAATCAATTCATAGGTTTATAAGAAAACACCTGTTGTGTGGTTTTAAAAATCTGTCTCTTACTTGTAATGCAAGTGTTTGACACGTATTAAGAATGTGTCGAATTTCTGAAAATATGATTCTGAGCCACTGTAAGTGGCTGAATGATGAATGATGGTCAACTCTCAGAATGGTTCTGGTCTACATTTTTCTTTCTGAACAAATGTCAGACAACCGTGTTTGCTATAAGCTTATGCTCCAAACTGTCTGTATTAGCCTGCCTCTGGTAAGCAGCTGTTAACACGGCAATTTCTTGTTTACATAAATGTGCAGAGGGAGGCTAAATAAATAAACATGATTTATTTTGTCAAACATGTAGTCATGCTGGCCCAGTCAGTGAATAAACTTGACCTAAAATCAGTTTCCAAAGTCTGCCTGACGCCTACTCTCAATTCTGTTTAACAGCAGCTACAAGAAAAGGGTTACAGGTCAGTGATGTACACTGTTGAAGGCTGGTTACTCTGATGTAAAATAAAGTTAAAGAGTGTACGCTGACCGCAGTCTGGTGCTGTTGTCGACCTATACACGTGCTCCTAAATGATGACAAAATGCTTTCCAGAACAACAAGTTTAGTAAGTTAGTATTAGTATCCTAATTTACCAAGGAAAAACATATATAAACCTGTTTGTTAACATTCAACGTCCAGAGTGGTCAGTTAGACGCAACTCTCTTCAAGTTGGTCTTAACAAGAAAAACTATTTATAACCATTACAGCAACTGTATTACCCATAGGATCTTGTGCGGGTCTCCTGCGAGGGTTTGCCCCGTCATATGAAGGATAAAATTGAGAGTTGGTCTTCATGCCAGATGGGGAGAGGGGATCAGGACTGGGTATAGGAATCTCACTGGGCAGAAATCCAGGCTACAAAGAAAATGGACAGAGTTTACCAGGAAAGAGAGAATATCAGAGATTTGAGGATAAGATGGGCAATAAAGAAAACGTTCTAGTCAAGGAAAATTAAGGTATGGATATTTTAAGGTCATGCACTACTAGACTAGTACTTAATATTAATTAATTATAACTGATAGGTTGTCCTGCATAAGGACACCCCCATCATAAAACTGCACGTTTGATCATACTGATCTGCATGATGGTCAAATTCACAACAGCCACATCAACAAATTTGTCATGAAGTATTCCTTTTAAGAAGCATGAAGCACCGGGCTACAGCAGCGAGAGTGGCTAACGGGGATGATTCGTCTGTGTTCTCTGTAAGTTACCTGTGCAAATGACGAGTACGGTCCTCTCTCAGCTTTCCCTGTAAAGATAACAAAAAAAAGCGAAAGTGGACTTTAATGACACATTTCCTGGAATGCCCTCTTTCTCCATTTTACATCCCATCTGCTGTGTGTATATATTTTATACACGATGTTATGTGATATTTATGGTGGTAGACTGCTGAACAACGAGGAATTACACCATTATTAATGGTATAGGGCGATTGTGCTCAACCTCTGTCCCCTCCCCTGGCAGTTAAACAGAGGAGGGATAACGGGCCGCCACAGTCCTGAGGGACAGCTTTGTTTGTGCATGGGTGCCCTTTACACCCCGACGCCCCCTCCCACACTGAACACACAAACTGGAACACACAAACAAACTCCTCCTCCACATCCTCCCCAATTACTCTGCTGCCTTCCTCCTTTGACACCTAACCATAAAAAATGTTTGTCCTCAAGTGGTAAATCGCTGTCTAACCTGTGAAAGGCTACCATCTCAAACAAACAGCTCATTGTTGACGTGCAGTGACAGAGTTCATTTAAATAAACGCTTGTATTTCAATCGGTGTTATCCTTTCAACACCGTTTGTTTTTTATAAAGACAAAGAAGTGTGTGTCTCCAGTTTTTGGGCTTTAAAATTACTCAAAGATGTGCTCTCAGTCTTTCAGCATGCTAATTCAGATTTAAATGTTCTTACCAACAATCCCTGATCCAAACATGGGGGCAGAGTGCATACCCTCTTGTTTGTTGTAAAGGCCTTCTTCCACATAACCCTGATGAAAACAGCAAAGTATATTGTACAGGTGCACACTACACACAAGACCTTTATGCTAAAGCTACACTTAGAAAAATACACAAGTCGTTTACTTTGTTGTAGGGCTTTATAGAATGATGAAAAGACATTTAAATGGCAAATGTAGGAAAAATAAACCTTACCCTTCCCTGGTGAAAGGATGGACTGTTCTGTTCTCCTGGACCCCAGGAACTGGACCCATTCCTCTCATCAATACCTGCAAGGAAAATAAATGATTTAATGACGGGGTTATTGAACATCTCTTGAAGTACTTGAAGCTTAAATTAAACTTCTAAAAGTTTGACCCTGGAGAAAGACGACCTGCTTTGCTGCAGATATTCAATCAGCCGATGAAGCTAAAAGGAGCTGCGCTTCACAGCTACCGAAGACAGCACAGTGACAGCGCCGTCACATTGCACAGATATGAGCTGTAAGAAGTTTGAATAATTAACACGCAGTATGTAGCTTCCAGAATCCTCTTCGACATTCTTCATTCTCCCACTCCACTCCTTCACATTTTCCATGGCAACAGTCAGTCATCCATCCATTCTCTTCCATTACATCTACACTGCACCTTTCTCTTTTTGACTTAACACAGGCAAAAGTCCGAATCTTGTCACACTATTATCCCTGGCCAGCACAGTACACTTTTAAGACAGATGAATGTGTTTGAAATTAGCCATTTCAAAGACTGGTGAAGCAGAAATTTCTGCTCGTCCCCTTTCCCTCAATCTCCTCTTATGGTGCTGCACGGCATCTCTGGGGAAAAGCTGAAGCTTAAATTGCATCCTAATTTACATAATTGTGCATATTAATGAAGCTCCGCTCTATGAATATTCATATTTTTTGTTTTGTTGTCTAATTAAAAAGCAGAGAAAGAAGGGGGATGGGGAGGGAGGCAGAGTCAGGCTAGAATCATGACAGGATCGGCAGTAGAACAGAATGATGGGCCCACAGCTCTGAGAGCTGCTAGAATGCTGTGACAACTGTGTGATCTATACACACAACACCAGCAGAATAAGAGATGAAGGAGACGATGTATTGTCCTCTCTTGATGACTGACTGTCACTCTACATGTCAATCAAAAAAATGACAAAGAAAGTGCAGGATTCTTTTGTTTCTGCTAAAAGTCACCAGGAACAAACATTTGACGCTTTGCTCTCAACATACATAATGGATTTTGTCAGTTTTTAAATATGCAATTAGAGGTTAGATTTTTTTTCAATATTTCGACCAATGTTATTGCAACAAAATGGCAGCATTTGGTAGCCTGTATAAGCAAGCAACAATGTTATCAATTAGCACAACATGAACATGCACTAGAATAAGGAACACAAAAGAAAAATTGCTAACTTCATTCCATAAATAGCAGGGTGTGTGCAGTTAAAGAACACTGTTCTGCTGCCAGGTGATGTGGTAGTAACAGCTTAGGTAAAGAAACAACTCATTATTATGGGTTGTATATTTTGAACTAAAAACACGTTTTTTTTAGCCCTCTGTCTGGTGAAATTTATATTTGTAATTCAGATAATGAGTCCAAGTAACGCTTCCCATCTCCAGTCATTAATTACGTGATGCCAACTCATAAACAGAACATGCATTGACTACGTTGGTTTTTGCCACCTCACCTCACATTACACAAAGGAGAGTTGGCAGACGAGGTTCCACAAACCGTCAGAAAAAGTAAACCACATAAAACATTCTCAACCTTGATTTATGCAAAAGGTGACAGGGCTTAATTTATGAGACTGAGGCGCGAGACTGCACAGGTATGTAAATAAGTTGCATTTTGAGTAACAGATGACACATCCTGTGTCACTGCACTTGAACAATTTTATCAGTGAGAAACACTGAAATAATATTAGAAGAAGAAAAAAACAAAACACAATGTGAGTAATGCATTAGCCAGACAGGGCTGTAAAGAAAGACACGAAGAAAAGAACAGAGTAACATCAGACAAGTTCTATGGTGAACCCCAATGCTCTTCTCCTCCCAACAAGCAACACCCCTTTGGATGGCCTATAATTACACAGGAAGAAATACTGGAAACAGACAGCCGCTCTGAGTCATAGACTCTCTTCATGACAAAAACCCCTGGCACATGCATCGACCAAACTTGCAGACATGTCTTGGTTTTTACAGGAACACTGCCCCGGGCACCTTTAACTGAGTGCAGAGTTGTGTCTGCACACCTTCTTCCTTCCTTTGGTGAAGTGATTCACTCAAGACACAAAGCATGATGTCAGAACAAATCTCAGGAGAGGAAAGACTGTAAATAAAATTCTGAACAATGTTCAATAGCAGGGGTCTGACTCTTTTACCCAGTGAGTCACCACTGACATGTTTTCACCACAGCATTATACCCTAACCTATTTAAACAAACATCCCATTCAAAGGTCTTTGTTAGTGTATTGTATATAGGTACACACACACACATGCGCTCACACTATAACAGACCTATGTCAGGTATTATCCATATACTGCCAACTTAAACACTTGGGCTTCTGTGAATCACCAGCACATCTGGTTAAAAGATGTCACATTTTCATGCAAATTTCATTGGCTGTCTGTATTTCAGTCTTAGCCAAAGTTTAAAAATACATTCTTGGTTTTCAGTGAGCAATAAAATGAAAGTGCATTCCAAAGCACTTAAACTGACTGGTGAAAGGCATTGAACAGACACAGAAGACCAGAGAGACGATAGCATCACCACCAAAAGCACAGGCAGGGAGGTTCCCCGTAGCCACATGTGCTGAACCTCCACCTAAACCAGACCCTAACCGTACTGAGGAAAAATGGCATATAGGTCACTCTGAAAGGAAAACATGTGGCAGCTGCTCCGCAAAAAAAGCTGGAATACAGTTTTAAACCAGACTGTTATATTAATCGCTCAAATAGAAAAACAGGTACATTTTATTGACCTGGTTTTAACAACCTAGACTACGGTCCAAACACTGTGGTGACCTTCTCTGTGAAGATGTTCCTTCAGTATATGTGCTAACCTGAGTATCTACTAGAGCTGCTCTAACTTTTCTAACTTTTACTTCTGCTTATTTAGAAATGCCCTGTCTGTGTCATTTTCAATTACCTCTTTGTGTTTTTTGTTGTTGTTGTTGTTGCCTTTATGCAAATTTCTTACGTCCTCAAGAAAGTGATAAAAAGACTATATTTATATCAAGTGGCGATAGCACTATATTTCACATTTCATACGTAGAACTTTATTTATTAATACGTAAGCTAATTTTCTTTTGAATTTACCAAGAGAAACCCTGAAAACAGGTTTACAGTGCAGTTGTTTATCATACTTCTCCCATTTGCAGCATCTCCAGCTGTATGGAGAATGCATGACATACTGATTTAGAATAATATTCTGTAAAAAACAAAGGTGTCAGGTAGTTTGTCAGGTAGTTTGATTAGACAATAAACGTCTCAGGAAAATATAAAGTTCCTAATCTGAGGGGCAAGTCACTACATGCACCAACCTTGTAACTGGTGATTCAGTTAAAATCTTTCAAGGGTTTATTAAGAGCTAGGGTTGGCTTTGTTCACTTCTCATGGGCAGTCTAAGGCTAGGGTGTCAAACTCGATCACTCAATGGGCTGGAATTTAAAATACACTCTGAGTTGAGGGGCAATCAGGAGTAGCATTTATTGAACAACCTATTGCAAAAAATGGTATTGTCATAAAATAACAAAACGTCCAAATCATCCAGTCACCATACTCTGATGGAATTGGAAGTCATATTTGACTATGACTATGACTCACTTCTCGTAAGACAAAGATATAACAAAGGTGCAGTGTAGGCGTAGTAAATTTAAAAGTAATCTTATTGGAGACGGTAGTAAACTAACAGTAAAACAACAGTAACTCATTAACAAAATGGCCAAATGCACAGAAACAAATGTGGGTGGTTGATTCTCAAAGGAAATATTTTGAGCGGAAAATACTATTAAGGCAAAGGAACAATGCGGTGAAGGACTGATAACAACTGTGTCTTTTTAGTCAATATCAACCTCAGCACAGGTGGCCCGGAAAGACAAAAAACAAATTCGCCTCATTTCCTTTTGTTTCATAAATTATTTTTCACATTTTTCAAAAGCGCTGCAACACTTTTAATGCAATGAGTATAAAAATGTTAATAGAAGTTAACTTCTAGACTAGTTTTTGTAGCCACTGTACATGCTTCAGCAGTGACTGTACAGGCTGGGAGAGTGGAGTTGTTGAGGAGAGAAGACAAGCACAAAGAGAATATTAATTATAAGAAAGGAGGATTAGTGTGGAAGATTACAGGACACAGGAATATACTTTCACAGAGAACAGATTCATTGAGCGGTTCCCATCACCCCCACCCTGCTGCCTTTGTCCTTAAAAGATTGAATGGCAACAGCTGAGAAGGTGAGAGATGGACACCTGCAATGCGAGAGTAAGGAACTGTAGTGGAGTTAATGCTGGATCTCCATAGCATTAAATTAGCAGGTTAATCAGCCCAAATGTTCTTTCAATCAACCCTGATCTAAAACACACAAAAGGAACAAGCAGACAGATGTTCTTTGTATATTGTTTTTTTTAACTGTCTTACTACATTGCTCGCACTAAATGAAAATGAGGAATGGTATTTCTTTCTCTCAAATGCAGTTGTTTTTTGACTACTCATAACTCTTCAAGAGAAAAGGTTGGGGTTATAAATAAATAACCAACAGTACTGGTCTCTAATCTTGAAAACCCACGATTTATACAGAACTTCCTTAGTGGCTTCCTTAGGAAGGTTCTCAAAGAAGCCAGAACCAACACTGCCCACAGAGCTATTTTAAATATTTTTGATAAAAGTAAACTATAGGTAGTCTTTTATCTCTTAAAACAGTGTTGGCAAGAAAAAAAGATACTTTTAGAAAATGTGTAATCCCACCTGATCCTCCAAACTGACTGCTGGCAAGAGTTGTTGGCCGGTTCTTGCCATTTGAAACTGGAAGTTCAAACATCTGAAATGAGAGAAATCAAATTGTTAACAAACAAGTGTGGCTCTATGTTCAAGTTTGCTGATATGTAACCTCTTTTGCAAAGGTTGTTTCCGTGGTATTTCAAGCTAAATTACTCAGTACCTTATTTAATCAACCAGCGTAAACCAAGTAACTCTGAGAATGAGGGAGACTGTCCGACATACTGGTCATGTAATGTGTATGCTTTGTGATTCCTTCATTTTTTCCAGTTAACTAACTATGGACGTATTATGCAAGTTACACTAGTATCTCACTCTGTGACTGTGGCGAATGAACTCTACGGGACACACTTGAAAAAAATATTCAAGCAATCTACTGTGAAGATCTTACCGCAGTAAAATCCAGCAAGTCGCTGAGCTCCTTGTCTGTTTCCACTGCAGCCATTCTTTGCTGCTATTCACTTGGCCCTTTCAATCTCAACAGGCAACTACAAGCAGAGGTAAGGAAAATAAGTAAATGTTTCCATTTGGAAAATGTATAACGGCAGTTGATGATGAGGAGTATAACAACAGGCTTTAAGGCTGAGCGAGGGCTGGCTTTACCAAAGCGGGGAGCGGTCTTAGAGGAGCACTGAGATGTGCGTTGTGGTGCAACTTTGAACATGGAGTGAAATGGATGAAATGAATAGGAATCGTGAATAATTGTTGTAAAAACCACCGTATGAGTTTAGGTGGTAGGATATTGATTATATCAAAAATAAAAAACCTGACTGTTTTTGACAATTCTTAAACGCCACGTAATACATTCCAAGACAACATACTTACATTGTTAGATACTCTCAGTTGATGACAGTAAGGTACATAGGTTGCTGTACAACAGTGGAAACAGTTTTTCAAAATATACTGCATTATGGATCATAAACAGCACCACACCACAAAGCATATAAACAACAGCCATCTTGAATTAGAGAGTTATGCAGCAATTACATGAAAATAAACACACATAACTATAATAGAGGATCCATTTTAAAAAGTAGACTTACTCTCAGAGACGACAGCGGTATAGACAAAATAATGAGAATTTTCCCTGGTATATCAAATCTAACACGGTTGACCGTAGACTGACCACAAAAACACAGCTAGTTCTTAGGTAATCACCGCTCTCTCCAGCTGTTTCCTCTGCCTCATATACCAAACTGCTCTGAGGGCCTTTACAATGGCTTGCAAGAGAATAAAGCAAAACAGCATTGCAGATTGACTTGGTCTGTACCAAAGCAGCTCAAGTGTGGCAAACATCTGTATAAGAAATTATAACCAGTCTAAAAGAGTTGGTGAAAACAGACAATGTATTTTGTGCTTAAATAAAAGCCAAATGGGAAGGAAATTGGTTATGCATTTGTATTTGTGTTCTGAAGTTTTGAAGACATTCAGAATACATCTTTGAAGATATTGTTTGTGCTGTAATCAAGTATTTTATTATTATTTTATTACGTTACACTTCTTTCATAGCATTGGTGGTTACAGTTATAACTGTGCATCGTAACAATGGTTTTAAGAAGGTGTCAAAAGTTTAAAACGTCAGTGAAGCCGTTGTCCTCAACAATATTAATCGGTTTACAGTCCCTCACAATCCAGTTGACAACTGTGTCAATCAGCTTGTAGGTCGTAGATTTATTTACTATCCTGTGCTCAGTGAGGCTGGTCTGACACGTCTGACCAGAGATGAAACCTCCACTGGATGAAATTATATTTTAAGCTGCTGCAGTATATGCAAATAATAACACGTGTATTGACTAGGTCTCAAAGCAAAGATAAGGAAATAGACGGTGGAATCATTGGTAGTGTGCGTCATTCTGCCCGTGCTTTACAATTTTGATATGATTAATTAACGTGTTTAACTTGTTCACTTTGGCAGGCCTAATTTAAACATTTGTGGTCTTTACCTCTGTAGTATTAGCAAATTGGTGAGTAACTCTTACTCAATGGGGACACAGAATAGCTTAGCATACATGTTAGACTTTAGCACACTGTGCCCTTATTAGTCATTATGAAACACCTATTATTACTACAGCTCTCACACTTCTTTTGGAATTCCAATATCTGTTCAACTTTAACATTCTTGGATTAAAAACCTGTTTGCTAAAGCAGTTACTAAAGCAAACTTTGAAAGCAATTGTTTCAAAGTTTGCTTTATATAAATGTAAACTTTAAACAACAAAATGTTACTGTAACACAATAAAGGGATAAAAATCAACAAATCAGTCACTGCTGTGTTTTGCCAAAAGACGGCATAATTTTTAATTATTGCTTGCATACCTTGAACTGTTAGGGTCTGGTGTCCCATTGCTAATTGAAATACATAAATAAAAATGAAATAACGAAAAACAGTATCTAACAATTTTCCACCCGAGGTCATTCCACAACTTGATTATGGTTTGCAGGACATTTTGGGTATTACCCATATTCCTGCATTATTTATTTTAAAAATACTTTGTATCCTACACAAATATGTTCTCATGTCTTTTTATAATGACCATTTTAAAATAAGACATTGAAATAGGTCTTGGTAATTATTGACTCCGTCCTAAAACGGCAAACACTTTGTTAACTATGATCCTGTTTTGAGTACAACTGAAGATAAAGCATGGCAGAATATTGTGCACACACCAGCCAACACTGAGTGACACTGACAGATTAACTGTCCAGTGATAACCCATCATTTAAGGGACTTGAAACTTTATCATTTACTTTTACTCCACATTTACATAATGTAGGTAGAGGTAATAGACTGAATCTTTCATAGATGTCTATGAAAACAGCAGGGCAATACGTTTCTTGGGCCTTGAGCAACCGTATTAATCAACCAGATAGCTTAATTTGTTTCCCAAATATAGTAAATATATTGAAACTTATATCACGTTGTCATTGTTAAAAAAATTGCATCCCTCTGGGAACAACTATGGCAAACACTGGTCTAGACTGATGACTCATAAAACAGGACATGATTTGTGTCCAACAAAGAGAACGACTACATCCTGACTACACGGCAAGCAACGTGTAGAGTCACAAATAATAACACAGTTCAAGAGAATCGCTATTACTCAAAAAATGAGTCCAAATATTTTGACACTGCACGATCCAGCAGACTGATTTCTGTCAGTGCTCCGAGGTCAAAATGGGGGATGTGTGTTTAGCCCCTCCTCAGCAGTGGAAGGAGCTTGTCTGGAGCACCCCACCCCCGGCCTGCTCATCAGCAGAAAAGTTATTAAGCTTAAATACCACACGAAACATCTCAAATTTAAAAAAAAGAAAATTCTCCATACTTAAACAATGTGAATTCGCATATTTTAAGGTACGTGAAATTAATGTAACACGGTCAAAACGAGCATTTAAACCTGTTGCCTGCTTTTGTGACGAGTAGAAGAAAAACACAAAAGACTGAGAGAAGAAAAGTAAAAAATACCGCAAAAATCACAAGTCGCGTCAACATGTCCTAGTAAACATGGCCAAAGTGTTGAACAGCAAAGCAGCAAAATACACGCAAAAGAGGTTTCGACGTTTTTTGTTACTTATGGTCGTTTGTTTATTATCGCTCCCTTACACACACATTTAAATCACACGTATAAGAACATGTTCATTATACTGAAATAGATTTAAATGAGTTGCCCAAACTGCTTTAAGAATTCGATAAAAGATTGTAACAGGTGTTCAGCTCGACAATTTAGCAACATCCACGACTGATATACAGAAAAATAAACAATGTCTGCGTTAGCGTGTCATGACGGTTTACATAAAAGCTACTAGTAATTCATTTAGACGGGCTAAATGTGAGGGAAGCTCACTCTGTCTGATAATTTGCTAATTTGCTAAATTAGCCGACGATTCAAGTGAACAAAAAAAAGTATATATCGCCACATACGCGCTGCGAATACTGAGTAATTACAGCAGTACACACTCGTTCAGGCCGAGATAGCGAACATCCAGCACCCCGCTTTTCCCGGCTCTGCCACTCACAGCGCAACTTCAACGATGCGCTTCAAACTTGACAACTGCTCCGACAGCAACGTGTCGCACAACATGTGTTTTCAGTGCATACGCATGTTATAAATACATACTCGACAGCGTATTTACCTGTTTCTGATAGTGTGGCATCAAATGGAGAGAAAAACGACGACTCGAGTGGAGAGAGGAAAAACAAAGTTAGGGATCGGATCCTTCCCCCGTGGTCCTCCGGACCGTGGGCTTGGTGTGGATGAGGAAAGGCGAAATGAACCTACTCCTCCGCCGCCTCGTCTCCTTATCGTTTTCGTCTCCAAATTGATATCACGACTCCGACAACAACCATAAGCCTTGTGTCACTCCGGTCTCCTTAACTGTTAGAGAAAATATAACCATTTCATTTCCAAAGTAGACATTTTAACAACCTCCACATTGTCGGCAACACTAGAGTATCAATCCGCGGCACAGCTTCAGAGGACACAGACGCAGAAGCATCGGCGGTGTCCAATTTCATCTGTAAAAGAACAATCAGACCGAGCTAGCTACACCATTCTGAAAATAGTTGTTGTGTTTTACTTGACGATAACAAAATGCCACCATTTTGAGCTTGCAGAAGAAAAACCAAACGTTTTTAACGTCCACTCGAGAGGACCTATGTCAAATGGCGGATGAAGACAGTGGCTAGCCCTACAAGCCATATCACTGGAAGATTGAGCGATAATACGAAACAGAGAACCAATCTGCTGCCACGAACGGTTGATTGACACGTGGATTGCCCAAACATGTTATAGGTTTACCGTTTAGGGCGGTCATCCTATCCACGGTGTTGATCTCGTTGTAAGTTTGTTCCCAATGTACTAAAAAGTCTATAACAATAAATAATTTGCGTTGTACAAAGATTTACAGTAATTTACACGACCAGTTCTTGAATCAGTTTTAAAAAGAAATTATAAAATGTAATTTGAGCAAAATGGGCAATTGTAAAACAGTGAAGAATCTGCACCACCAATGGTGCTTCTAGCTGCAAATGCCAATATCAGACTGAAATTGCCCAATATCAAATTATATCATTTGTAATTAAATTGATTCATTATTCTGTTTCTATTAATGCAGAGCATGTTGTAGAAAAATTTGTTACAACTGAGTCATAGTAACGACTCGACAAAAATGTTCACATCAGACAACAGCTCAAAATTAGTGAAAAGTGTAGCAAAAAAATCTAAAGGTCAACAAACTTAAAATGTAATGTGCTCAATCTAATTAAATTTTAGTACGAATTTAACCATACCTGAATTGTTTTTCGCAATATTTCAGGATGTTGGTTTGTTTTTTTTTTTTTTTGTTTTTTTGTTTGGTTTCCTTTACAAGAAATACCAACATGTTTTCTAGCACAATTTCCACCAGAATCAACAACTACTTCTGTGCTGTAAAACAATATCATTTTGAATGTATATACAACATGTAAGACTGAAAGTGGTTTATAGATATTCATACTTTTCAGCACTAAAGTCTGAAATTAGCATGGATGGTGCTTTATAAACAACCCTTGTGATATATACAGTATCTAAGTTGAATCAAAACCACATAGAATAGATTGCAGACAGACAGAATGGTAAGCTACGACTAGTTTTCCCCTGTCACTTTCATCATGGAAAGCTTTATATTTTGTAAATGTTTGTTTCTTGTAGGTAAGATAAGTGGTATAAGATATTATAATGGTGTCTGCTCAGACACCTTTAAAATTAATTGCATAAATGATAGTAAAATGTATTCACAAGAACAAGTTGGGCAGTAAGTAACATCATATTAGACAAAAGTAAGGTAAAATACTTAAGAAAACATGTCCCAAAAAAGGCCAATAAATATAAGGAAAACAGTAAGGGGCATTCCTTACTGTTTTCCTTATATTTAAACAGTTTTTAACTGAAAGGCAGAAAAATAGTGAACACATAAATAAAAGCTTAAAGTTATCCAGAAGATACAGTTTACCCATAAATATCTTGAACCTTAACCTTGGCCAAAATATAATTTAAAGTGATCCTACGTAGCTATAAGTTTGCCTAAAAATAATAAGAGCATATTTTTCAAGGTCATAAAATATCCTGTTAAACTGACTTAATTTCCTAGTCCACTATGAACACAAACCATTATTTCCTTCAAATACTAACGTAGATCACAACTGAACATTTTTTGCTTCCTGAAGTGCAAACGCAAATTAATCAAAAGAATGATCTACATAAATAATATAGTTTGAAATATTACTCTGCTCAAATGGAAATATTTTCACACGTTCAACCCTTTGTTCAGGTATGTGTAAAAGCTTATATATCTCGCCAAAACTAGTTTAAATCCATGGTGAAATGTAATTTTTTTTTCCTAATTTTTTGTTAGGTATTTTAAGATGAACATCTGAATCTTTTTTGTGTTTGAGGGAGAGAGAGAGAGAGAGAGAGAGACATATGTGTAGCCACAAAGCCATGCTCAGGAGCAAACAAAAAGGGAGCAAGGGAACAGCCTCTCTTTCTCTCTCTCTCTCTCTCTCTCCTTCTCTCTCTCTTTGTCTATAACGGGAATCAAAGACTTTGACAACATTAGACTCACAAACATGGCCCTTGTTGCATTTTTTTTAGCTGTACGTCTGTGGTTATGTAAACATGGCTGCAGATAATATCAGTGTTTGTTATGAGACCTTCTTACGAAAACCTCACCTCGACTTTGAGGGGAAACCTAAATAACATCTGTGCTGGGCTTTTACGAGAAAACTCAGCCATCCACTTTGCGGTTCAAAACACATGCATGAACACACACGCATGCACACACACACACACACATGCTCGACATGCTTTGCACATATGAAACTCACACCTGTATACTATTAAGAGTGTGGTCATATTGCGTGGTATCTTTAAAGGTCTGAATACCATGGAATGCAGAAGAAAACAACAGACAATGATTGACGTTGGACTGTTATACAGATGCAGTCGTATGGTTAAAGGGTTAAGTCACACTCTTCCTATTTTTTTACACATCAGTGCGAGGAGTATCAGTGAGTGTGAGCACATCAACCCCATTATGACAAAACCACTTTCATGTCACAGATTCACCAGTAAAACTCCATAGTACACCTGGGGAAAGTTGCCTCATTTCCCGTGGAAGTGATCATATCACATCCCCACACAAAACATCAAACAATGTTTGGTTTGACACTTAAAAAAAAAAAAAAAAAAGTAGGACAAACAGCGCGGGGGCAAAAAAGCAACAGAGTTGAGTGCGAGGGAACGAGGCTTGAAGAGAAGATATATTTAGAGTGGAACTCTATTTTCCTAACCCCAAAGTGTGCACCCTCGTCTCCACCCACTCTTTTCTAGGCTCTCTCCTTCTCGAGAAAAGCATTTACATGTTTGAAAATGGGTTACCCCCATAGAGCCACCCACGCATCAGGTACAGTATAAAAAACCTGGGGCATCCTGTTATGACTTCTGGTTTCCTGTTTCCTGTGAAAAAATACAGCCCCCTTTCTTTTTCTCTGTCCCAGGCAAACATACAAACACCAAAGTGAGCAGCAACAGATCACTCAGGCCACACACATCATTTCAAAGGCAGACTGCCGGATTTAGGTGAAGTTATTATTAACTTCATATACAATGTTAAACATGGAAGAACAAGTTAGTAATGTGTACATGAATGTAAACTCACTTTTGCTTTAATCTCGGTAGAATGAGCTCTTTATTTAATCTCAGCAGGAGCCAATTGGAAATGACCACACATTTTTCTTCTTCTTCGATAAAATGGCTAAGATGAAAGAGAGAAAATAAGCAAGTTGATAATCAGATGTTTTCCTATAACACACATGTCTTTCTTTTTTGCGTAATTATTATTATTAAATTCATTCAAAATATTTCAGGAGGATTTTGACCTAAATACTGATATTTATCCCATGAGTCCGACCCATATCATGCTCATATATCACTTTTATTTGTCCTTTGTAGGTTTTAATGACCACACTTGGAAGGCCCACTCAGGTTTGCCAGATCTAGACCACATGGTGTCCACAGCACTGCCACATGTCAGTCAAAGGTAATGTATAAAACAGAAGTGGCCCACAAACAGACCTTTGAAGATGACGTCCAGATTTGACACAATATATCGTGCTATACATTTGAGTTGCCTTACATTAGAGTACCCAGAAAAACCTCACGGCAGAATATGCTAAATGCATAGAGGAATATTCAGGTTGGAGATCTTCTCACTGGAAGACAAAACTACTAACCACTTTCCCCACAGTGTTACAGCACCGTGTAGGTGTAAATATGTAAATTAAGAAAAGATGAAACTGAAACTGAAAAAAAAATGTTCTGGACATTTTGTCTGTCATGTGACATTTAAATGATCAACTGAAAGTTCAGTTCAGTTAATGCTTTTAAAGAAGTCTTTTGAAATGGCCTTGTTGCCAGATGTGTTGCATTGGATGAGTGTCTTCCTACTGCAGCTCTGCAACTGTGGACATTCATTAAAAAGTAGTTATTGGTAGCACAGTTACTACACTGCTCATACAAATGGATGGGTTTCATCTGGTCTGGCAACCCACCCAGTTCATCACAATGACCCACCTCTGGCTCAAACTCCACCGTTTGAGAAACAGCATTTAAACACGACAGCAGAGCAGCTGTTTTCCCTAATCTTCGCCACATTTAATTTGTTTTTATTGTACGTACAGTATACACACGTCTCATTTCACATGCCAGAGAGGAAGATGTACAAGTGTCAGGGGACCAGTGAAACAGCAATAACAGTAGCCTACTGTATGTGGCTCCGTGTGCACCGGTGCCTGTTTGACAAAAACATGAAAACAACGCGCAAAATACTCCCAGGACACACGTGTGCACTCATCCAAGACTTCCAGAGCGTCCCACTCAGACTATTACTATTTCTACCTCTTTAATTTTTAGTTTTAAGTGAGGTTGAAAAGATAGTATACTGCTTATGCTTTATACTCTTTAAAGCCACAAATCTCTCCTGCCCAGTTATATCATTAAAGTCAAACTACTATCTACCTCATACATCCAGAGTTTAACTTTATCAGCACAACCACACAAGTTTTTTTTATTTCTATTATTTTATGTGTCAAAGACAAAAAACCCCATTAAAACACATCCTGTTTCTTCTCCCACACAGTCCTCCCCTCCCCCTTCTTGCAATTAGCAATCAAAAAGCCTCTGACAAGCACCCCAATCCTAATTACTTGCTCATTTGCATATTTGCATATTAATGACTGCAGACTTAGCTCTTTTCTGCTGCAGTGGTCCTCCTTTCCTTGTCACTGCCCCAACACCCCCCTCCCCCCCACCTCTACACTGCAGCACTCACAACTCAAGGCCTTAGAAGCTCATACGTCCGGGTTTGAGACACTCCACCGTCACCTCAGACACCAGTTTCAGAGCTGAACCCCGTCTTAATACTATTCTCTTCAATCCTTAACCCAAACAGCACATCACAAAAACACTGAACTGTATCCTGATTTCTCTGTTAGATCTTTTTCAAGCCTATGCATAATATACTGCCCCCATGTGGTGAATTAGAGGGGTACTCAAAGACAGACAAATTGTTTTCGACAACGTTTTTCTTTTTTCTTTTTTAAAAAATACACTTAAAAAGATTTACAAAAAGTGAAAAGCAATGTCCAGTTACAGCACTGTCATATCTGAGTAATAGTTTACATAAATGCTAATTTATCTCAGTCATTACAAAAGAAAAAACCTATAAAGATACAATAAACATCGTAGCGAAACAGGTAAATGTTCCGTGGTGTTAATGTCAACGAAATTAAATAACATTTACTGACATAGATGATTCACGGCAACAACGCCAATAATACATGATAATAAAACGGCTTTAAATTTAGCTACAGTCCCTTAGAATATGCATCTTTGACACTAGATGTCACCAACTCAGCGTTTGTATTTTTCACTGATTTCACTGAAGCGTTAAGTCGAATTGAAATGACTCCTATTCATATTATGGCCATATTGAGAATAAAAATATTACTTACATAGATACCTCTGATGTCATAGAACATAGACTGAGTCCAGTGTAGTTTTAGTTCTAACACTGACCCTGAACCTGAGACCTTCCTTCCTTCCTTAAAATATGTTTTCAGATTTTAAGGAAGGACATACACACTCATTTTGATAGAATGCCTTTCAATTTTAATATGCATACACACAAAAAACCACACTATTGAATAATGCAACATATTCAGAAAGTTAACTAATACACAAAACAAAACATAATTTACATTAGGAAGGGTTTTTGACTCCCAGTCACTGCTGTATGCTTTTTTATCGGCAGGGGGCACTCTAGCACATTGCATTGCTGCCTTCAGATGTGTTTCGTTTCTTTTGCTTAGAGGCACAAAAGCAGCTTCAAAAAAAGAGGGGAAATAATTTAGGTGTTAGATTGTAAAATGTACCAACATTAAATCTACATTGTTGACATCTATGACTTTAAATACTCCGTTGCAGATCTTACGTTTATGCTACCTTAAATGTTATAATTATTGCTTGATGCAGAATGATCATTTAAATAATGTAAATGTTTTGTTAGATATTTTTCTGGGACATACCCTCTGATGGCCTTGGCTTCACTGATTAGATCAGGAAGTTTGCTGTTTCTGGTGTCTGGCAGCAACATGCTCACAGCTGCAGCCGTGATGCTGACTGTGCCAAAGACAACGTAGGGGAGAATCTTATTCTGAGTGCCTGAAAACAACGGAGAACATTCAGAGGTGATACAAATATTAATAACAAAATGACTGATAAGGTAACAGTTAATTCTGAGCCACTACACAACTACAGGGCTTAATATAAGCCGTTTAGGGTTATTTCCCATATTGTTTTTATTTCTTATTATTATCATATTGTTGTGCTTTCTAGAAATGAATGCAAAGAAGTACATTGGATTTGTTCTGCATTACTTGTAAATTCATTCATTCAAAGTCATTAAGTTGACTTTAACATTTCTGGCTAACTTATCTCACATTCACATATATTTTGTCTCATTTTTACTTAAAAATGTTTTTGTTAACCTATTGCAAGCTGTAAACATTCTGAGGATAAATTCTGGGCAAAAGTGAAAACCCCTGGGATTTTTTAAACACCAGTTGTCAGACACTGAAAAGATAACAAAAAAACCCACAAAACGGTAGACAGGTTAATTTTTCAGTTTCTAATGTTAAGAATCCACATGATTTTTAACATTTCTACCGTGTGGTTAGACTTTAAATATACATGGGAAAGCTGAATTGTTTAGTGAAAAATGTTCCAATAGTCCAAAGCATCTAAAGTATATTTTAAACAAATCTTTTCTTCAATAGCAGGATATTAAATAAATACTATAATATTTAAGATTTAAAAGAAAATACTTTTTTCACAAGCCAAGAATATAAAAAACAGGCCCTAAGCTATGTAATTCTGTAATTAATTTCCTCATTATGCTTTCTGACTTAATGTATATTTCAGTAGGTTCCACCGTAACCAGTTATTTTTACATTTACATTTATGCATTTAGCCAACACTTCGATTCAAAGCACGTTTAAGGCTTTCATTTAGTAAATAAAACATAAAAATATGTAATAACGTTTACTGCACTTTGTCAGGACTTCATTACATTTGAAATATATATATATATATATATATACATAAAAGAAACAAACAGATTTACCAATGTAAAGTAAATAGGGACAAATGATGCTGCCTATCCGTGCTCCTGTGGAGTTGACCCCCACTCCCATGTTTCTGACCACAGTGGGGATGAGCTCAGTGAAGAAGAGGTTGTTTACGCTGTAAGAACAACTGACTCCCATCTTTCCAATTAAGACTAGTACCTGGAACATAACAGGCATGTCTGCAGTGGTGAAAAAAACAAAACAAAAAACAAACGTGAACCAAATGTGAAACAAGCAAAATGTTCCACAGTCCAGTGCAGACTCTTTCATTGACGTTTTTAAAGTACACACCCTCAGGAACCAGTTGGATGACCAGAAGCATGATACCAGTGAACATCAATGTGGAGAAGAGGATTATTTGTCTCTGTATTCGCTTTATGGCCACCCAGGCGGCTATGCACACAAAAGTGTCCACAACCCCAGAAAAGAAGCAGCTGAGATATATATTTCCTTTTAAGTTACTGGTATTTATAGAGAGACCATAAAACACCATGGAAACAGATAACCTGCAAAAACAAATAGAATATAATTACCAAACACTGAACCTATGCAGTTATATTATAAAAAAATGTGATTATAGAAACAATGTGTTCTGGTCATTGATGTGCGTACTTCTTTGGTCATACTTGCATTTTATTTTATCTATTCACTTTTCACTGTGGGCTAATTGGACCCTGACTGGCTGAAACGTTCACAGCCAAAAAGTGAAAAGAAAAAGGTGAGAAACAAACTCCAAACAAAAATCTCACAAAAGTATATGTAATTAAATATAATAGTCTTCTAGTTTACATTAAGTCTCAATTTACTCAAATCTCAGCCATTTTAATTGAAGCAAACACAGATGTACTGGCAGGAATTGAATAAAGACACTAACAAAGATCTTCTTCAACAGCTCTGATTCTCTCTTTTTTTCATTTTCGTAGCCATCTCATGCCACCTAGTGGAAGAGTATTTAATTGTCCTGCTTGTCACGCATTGACGAAGAAAGAAAAATCATTTGGAATAAATAAATGATGGTAATTTTGTGGCACACCTTACGATCTCTCACAGCACACCAGTGTGCCACAGCACAGGTGTTGGGAGTCACTGTACTAATACATAAGGGAAGCATTACAGCCAGAGTTGTTCAACAATATTTTTGTCTAAAAATAGTTGTTTTCTTTTGTGTAAAACATAAAATCACAGACAGGGCCAAAGATTTATACACATCACTGCAGCTATAATTGCAGAAGTCTTGTTCTTGATGTGCAGTTAGTAATCTTATTTCTCATTACCATATGTAAAAACCTATAAATGTTATGTTCCTCATGTTGTGGGTACGTATCAGATCCAAATAGGTGTATGTCTTTGTTTTTTCCCCAGCATTTTCCTAAAGTGGAAATCCAGTGCATGAAAAGAGACAGAGCAGTCACATTGATTACTACACGTCCTTACAGTAAAATATGTCTTGGAATACAAAGTGTTAAAACCAAATACTGCAAATACCATTAGCTCAGATAAGTCATCTGCTCTAAACAGGACCTCAGGTGCAGAGACTCCGTTCTTTTTTGCACACTCACGTATGATTTGCTCGGCTTCCTGCATCCGACCTTTTTGCAAAAGCCAGCGAGGCGACTCGGGAATCAGCCTAAAGACAAAACATTTCTTGTTTAAGTTGGCAGGGCAAGCTGTGAACAAGGGGCATATGGGTACATGGGTATATGAATGACTTCATACAGACGGAGAAGTGTGACTCAGGTGATCTAGACTGTACGGTTTTAACGGCTGTGATGGTAAGTCAGGTGCAGCAGAGAGAGACAAAGAATTTCTAACACAAAATGATTCAGGATTCAAAACTGGGACACTCTGAAAGTAAAGGTAGAGCATAAGAAAATTGTATTTATTTTTATATTGTATTTTTCTTCTAGGTGTTGGCAAACACACATTCTCATATTGTAGTTTTAATATTTTTGTATAGTTTTATTTCCACAACGCTGGTACAGTAAAATTCCAAAATTAGTAATAATTTCTTTTTTGTTCATTTTTATTTAGTGACACACTACCTTACACTTTAATTTTGTAAAATTGACCAAATCACTTTTAACAGATTCTATAATTTGCCAATTAATTTATTGATCATCCTGAATACCTGACCTTGGTGTCAAGGTCACAAAAGTCAGTGTTGCGTTGTTAAAATGGATTAACAACGCAATTGTTTTTTTCTGCCATACAAACTCTTAAGGTAAAAATCAGATGAAAATACTTCTTTTAAGCCAACACAAACAATCAATGCATCCGTTTATTTCATTGGGGTCAAATGTAAGAGTTAAAATGCTGATAATCTGAGCACTGAGTTTACCAGGTTGTTCTTCCTACCGTTGATTTTTATTCCTTATTTCTCATTTTGTATCTTTTTCGTCATTTTTTTCATGGACACAATCTTGACAAAAACAAATATTCAACAGACTCACCACCATGCTGGAAGCAACAAAATGCAGGGGATGGCCATGGTACCCAGCAGCATCCGCCAGTCACGCATGAGGTAGGCAAAGAGAGGTAATACTACAATACCAAGGGAGAAACCTGTGCAGTGTCCCAGCAGAATGAAGATCTCTCTGACAGAGGGACTCAGCATCTCTGACCCTGAACAAGAAAAATACTATGATTCAAAGTAGAAGAAAACAAATGACAAAAAAACCCACCCCTAGTGGTCATGCTGGGTTTATTACACAGGGGGCAGACAATTATTATTTTAAAGTATTATTTTTGAATATCATGTTTCAGTAGTAATCTCGACTCTTCTCAGTTGAGCTATAGCAGTGCTTCTCAAACTGTGGTACGCTTACCACCAGTAGTACACGAGCGCTCTCAAGTGGTACGTGGGGAAAATTCATATGTGTACATTTACATTTTCAACTGAATAAATCTGAAACATACCGTGCACAATTAATACAACATTTTCATAAAGATGTCTATCTTTCTAAACATTTCTAAACATCTCTCCTGTGTGGTGGAAGCTAACAGGGAAGGCCTGTGCTGCTATATCCTAATGTTGGTCATACTCATAGAGCTCCATGTTTTCTCAGGTGGTACAGAGTAGAAAAAGTTTGAGAACCACTGGTCTATAGCATGTCTTGGTCAACTTTTGTGAGTTAATGATGTTTGTGTTTGGAAAAGCTAACCAATGAAGGCACTTCAGAAAAAAAGAAAAACAGTGGTTGACCACCACAGTAGAATATTTTGAGGTACCCAGTATCAATGAAGTATGGTAACAAGATATCTGGCCCAGTCCTGACAGACAGTTGAGGATACAGAACATGGTCCAGCTCACAGAGCAGGCCTGGATCACAGCTGTGACACACTGCAGGGCCAGTGCAATAAAAAACACCGGCTTTCTGCCAAACCTGTAACACATTGCACAAACACATTAAAACTCTAAGGTTACCCATCACAACTGTGGTGTCAGGTGACCATACACTGATATGAAATAGTGTCTCTATCCCCATTAACAACATAAAGTCTCATCTCTGTTATATTAAATATTTATAACTTTTCTGACATTTTTGCTTGGGATTGATTTTTCAAATTTGTGCCATAAACCTTTATAACATTAATTAAAAAAAATAAACTATCACTATGTTCATTTCTATTTTCAGACGTTAAAGTTAGCTTTTGACACATGTCTGTTTTATCTCTATTGTAAGTTAAAAGGAAACTACATGATAGGCGTATGCATGGCCGTGCATCACAGCGAACACCACATGTGATTCATAGTAATTGTAATATGTAAGTAAGTCTAATTGTAATTTGCAACGACACATACCTGTCTGCGAGTTGGCCACTGACAAAGGATCCTATCATAACTCCAAAAAAAAATAAGGAGGAGGAAAAAGGGACTTTCCATGCGTTGTCACACACCAGGTCCCACTGAGGAGAAAAAAAAAGACAACATTTACTGAGCGTTCTGATGAGAACAGTTTGTACATGTAAATAAAACATATTCAAATCATCATCATCATCATCATCATCATCATGATGCATGTGTTCAGAGCAAATACAATAATCAGTTGGATTTACCGTTTGTTACTGTTAGGTTAAATAATTCTAACAGGTCCTACTTTCACGTTTCACAGGCTTAGTTTATTATTAGCACTTGGAAGCTCTCAAATTTATAACTGCCTTGATTCGTTGGTCTACTCAAATGAAACCCTTTCTCAGCTTCACTTCACAGATATAGAGTATGTGTGGGGTACAAGTCAAGACATACACGAGCCAGTCAATGAATTCACTTGTCTTTTTGGAAATAAATCAACAGTATCAAAGAATGCTAGTAACACCTGCATCATCGTCATGTTGTGATGATTCCCAATTCTGTGGCAAAAGTGTTTTTATGATTTTGTTTAGGCAGCAGTTCTTTCAGTAACAAATTATCCTGGCCCATAGTTTTATTTTAAGGTAAATTCTCAAACCTTTTAGACCAGTGGTTCTCAAACTTTTTCTACTCTGTACCACCTGAGAAAACATTGCTCTCTCTGAGTACCACCATGATGACAGACATTAGAATATAGCAGCACAGGCCTTCCCTGTTAGCTTCCACCACAGGAGAGATGTTTATAAAGATGTTTATGTTCAAATGTTGTATTAATTGTGCTTGGTATGTTTCAGATTTATTCAGTTGAAAATGTAAATGTAAAAGTATGATTTTTCCCCGTGTACCACCGGTGGTACGTGTACCACAGTTTGAGAACCACTGTTTAAAACATAACAATATTGGTCAGTTGGTCAACAGTGACTTTGACCCTGGTAAAATACCAGGGTCAAATTTTAGTATGCAATGTAACATAACGCCAATTTGTTCAGATGTGCTGCTACTTTTCCTCAATCTTTCCCTCGTCACTTTGAAGACGCTGCAAAGAAGAACAAAGAAGAAGCTTGTTCTGACTGGAACTGACTGGTTTGAAACTGTCATAAAAAAAACAATGCAGTTGCTATGTTAGGTGTGTACTTCATTATCCAGCCCAGGTAAAGAAAGAGTAGACAGAAGACAGAGGGCAGTGCAGATGACCATACCAACATAAAATACCTGACTCATAAATGTGTGTTTTATTCACTTTTGTCCAGACATTGCTGAATGTTCTACTGTTAAATATTCTGACTAAAAATGCAAGTTGTTAAACTACACAGCTTACTACTACTCCTTACCTCTGATACTGCAGTAGTAGAGCTGAACTCAGTGCTGTACACCCAGCCGTCCAAGCACTGCTCCGTGTCATTGGCCAGCTCTGCCCTCTCTGTCCTGTTTCCCTGCACCTTGTAGCGTGAACAGCTGTCAGGTCCGACCTGCCTGCTGCGCTCCTCGAAGTGAAGTTCCTCTGAGGTAGATGTCGCTGTTGAGTTGAGAGGAATTCTGCAATGGTGAGCAGGTGTGTCAGAGACAAAAACCACCATTACTCCAAAGTATCCACACGGAACCGTGCTCAGACTCAACAACACAATAACCACTACTTGGAAGTGTCCGAAGCTGCCCAGAAAAGACGTGACTTCGTCATAGTCTCTGGTTCTCCCACTCATCCTGGCTGAATACAGCAGCAGCAGACAGCAAATGACTGCCAGACAGAAGTGACGTTTCTGTTTGTCAACCAAAACCTGTTTTGGTTGCGTGACAAGTCAGTGCTTTTTTTTTTTTTTAATTAAGTATGGGATAAGGTACGGGATAAGGTACATTAGACACATTAAACTATTATACAACCAGTATAACCATTATAAATCCTTATAATGGTCAGAATTATTAAGTCTAGTTAAAAAACAGATATTCTTGGTCCTGATCACTACACCTTGTGATTCTTTGGTCAGCACAGTAGCCATAGCAACAAGCCTGTGGCCACTACAAGGCAGTGCCCTCTGACCCCCAGAGAGGTAACCTTTGGCCTGAGGGTCATCAAACAGGGTCGGTGGGGTCAGATCCTGCTAGAAGACAGTAAAAGCACCATCATTTGCCCTTTCCTTACCCTCATCTATGTAATTGGTGTATTGACCAACTGGCCCTTTCTGCACATTGTTAGCAGCACTTTATCTAGTTTGAATACAGGACAAAGTAAGTGGAAAACGCTGTTCATGATATCAAAAGGAGCTCCGTTTGGGTTAACCCTGAGGCTGTTTACACTCCACTGTAACCACCCAAAAATTCAGAGGGATAAAAGTGAAGCGGTCGTAAATTAAGCAGTGAGGTTTTCAGCTTGTGTCCACAGCCAAGTATGTTGCTGTGTAACACCAGATACAGTTGGGTTGGGTTACATTCCAT